AGCAACACTTGCCGTTCAGCAGTATTCGACCTTCTGCAGCCTCCGCTGCTGATATCCAGACAAACAGGGTCTGGAGTGGACCTCAAGCAAACACGAACAGACCTGCAGCTGAAGGTCCTGATTGTTAGAAGGAAAACTAACAAATGGAAAGGACACTCATACCAAAACCCCATCAGTACGTCACCATCATCAAAGACCAAAGGCAGGTAAAACCACAAAGATAGGGAAAAAGCAGTGCAGAAAAGCTGGAAATTCAAAAAATCAGAGTGCATCTCCCCCTCCAAAGGAACACAGCTCATCACCAGCAATGGAACAAAGCTGGACAGAGAATGACTTTGATGAACTGAGAAAAGAAGGCTTCAGTCGATCAAACTTCTCAGAGCTAAAGGAGGAACTACGTACCCAGCGCAAAGAAACTAAAAACCTTGAAAAAAAATATGGAAAAATGGATAACTAGATTAATCAATGCAGAGAAGTCCAAAAACGAACTGATAAAGATGAAAACCATGACACGAGAACTACGTGACAAATGCACAAGCTTCAGTAACCGACTCAATCAACTGGAAGAAAGATTATAAGTGATTGAAGATCAAATGAATGAAATGAGGCGAGAAGAGAAGTTTAGAAAAAAAGGAGTAAAAAGAAATGAACAAAGCCTCCAAGAAATATGGAATTATGTGAAAAGACCAAATCTACATCTGATCGGTGTGCCTGAAAGTGACGGGCAGAATGCAACCAAGTTGGAAAACTCTATGCAGGATATTATCCAGGAGAACTTCAACAACCTAGCAAGGCAGGCCAACATTCAAATTCAGGAAACACAGAGAATGCCACAAAGGTACTCCTCGAGAAGAGCAACTCCAAGACACTCTTTATTTATAATTGTCAGATTCACCAAAGTTGAAATGAAGGAAAAAATGTTAAGGGCAGCCAGAGAGAAAAGTTGGTTTACCCACAAACGGAAGCCCACCAGACTAACAGCAGATCTCTTGGCAGAAACTCTACAAGCCAGAAGACAGTGGGGGCCAATATTCAACATTCTTAAAGAAAACAATTTTCAACCCAGAATTTCATATCCAGTCAAACTAAGTTTCATAAGTGAAGGAGAAATAAAATCCTTTACAGACAAGCAAATGCTTAGAGATTTTGTCACCACCAGGCCTGCTCTACAAGAGATCCTGAAGGAAGCACTAAACATGGAAAAAAACAACCGGTACCAGCCATTGCAAAAACATGCCAAAATGTAAAGACCATCGATGCTAGGAAGAAACTGCATCAACTAACGAGCAAAATAACCAGCTAAGATCATAATGACAGGATCAAGTTCACACATAACAATATTAACCTTAAATGTAAATGGACTAAATGGTCCAATTAAAAGACATAGACTGGCAAATTGGATAAAGAGTCAAGACCCATCAGTTTGCTGTATTCGGGAGACCCATCTCACATGCAGAGACACACATAGGCTCAAAATAAAGGGATGGAGGAAGATCTACTAAGCAAATGGAAAAACAAAAAATGCAGGGGTTGCAATCCTAGTCTCTGATACAACAGACTTTAAACCATCCAAGATCAAAAGAGACAAAGAAGGCCATTACATAATGGTAAAGGGATCAATTCAACAAGAAGAGCTAACTTTCCCAAATATATATGCACCCAATACAGGAGGACCCAGATTCATAAACCAAGTCCTTAGAGACTTACAAAGAGACTTAGACTCCCATACAATAATAATGGGAGACTTTAACACCCCACTGTCAACATTAGACAGATCAATGAGACAGAAAGTTAACAAGGATATCCAGGAATTGAACTCCACTCTGCACCAAGCAGACCTAATAGACATCTACAGAACTCTCCACCCCAAATCAACAGAGTATACATTCTCCTCAGCACCACATCGTACTTATTCCAAAACTGACCACATAGTTGGAAGTAAAGCATTCCTCAGCAAATGTAAAACAACAGAAATTATAACAAACTGTCTCTCAGACCACAGTGCAATCAAACTAGAACTCAGGACTAAGAAACTCAATCAAAACTGCTCAACTACATGGAAACTGAACAACCTGCTCCTGAATGACTACTGGGTACATAACGAAATGAAAGCAGAAATAAAGATGTTCTTTGAAACCAATGAGAACAAAGATACAACATACCACAATCTCTGGGACACATTTAAAGCAGTGTGGAGAGGGAAATTTATGGCACTAAATGCCCACAAAAGAAAGCAGGAAAGATCTAAAATTGACACCCTAACATCACAATTAAAAGAACTAGAGAAGCAAGAGGAAACACATTCAAAAGCTAGCAGAAGGCAAGAAATAACTAAGATCAGAGCAGAACTGAAGGAGATAGAGTCACAAAAAACCCTCCAAAAATCTATGAATCCAGGAGCTGGTTTTTTGAAAAGATCAACAAAATTGATAGACCACTAGCAAGACTAATAAACAAGAAAAGAGAGAAGAATCAAATAGACACAAGAAAAAATGATAAAGGGGATATCACCACCGACCCCACAGAAATACAAACTACCATCAGAGAATACTATAAACACCTCTGCGCAAATAAACTAGAAAACCTAGAAGAAATAGATAAATTCCTGGACATATACACTCTCCTAAGACTAAACCAGAAAGAAGTTGAGTCCCTGAATAGACCAATAGCAGGCTCTGAAATTGAGGCAATAATTAATAGCCTACCAACCAAAAAAAGTCCAGGACCAGATGGATTCACAGCTGAATTCTACCAGAGGTACAAGGAGGAGCTGGTACCATTCCTTCTGAAACTATTCCAATCAATAGGAAAACAGGGAATCTTCCCTTACTCATTTTATTAGGCCAGCATCATCCTGATACCAAAGCCTGGCAGAGACACAACAAAAAAAGAGAATTTTAGACCAATATCCCTGATGAACATCGATGCAAAAATCCTCAATAAAATACTGGCAAACCGAATCCAGCAGCACATCAAAAAGCCTGTCCACCATGATCAAGTGGGCTTCATCCCTGGGATGTAAGGCTGGTTCAACATATGTAAATCAATAAATGTAATCCAGCATATAAACAGAAGCAAAGACAAAAACCACATGATTATCTCAATAGATGCAGAAAAGGCCTTTGACAAAATTCAACAGCCCTTCATGCTAAAAACTCTCAATAAATTTGGTACTGATGTAACGTATCTCAAAATATTAAGAGCTATTTATGACAAACCCACAGCCAATATCATACTGAACAGGCAAAAACTGGAAGCATTCCCTTTGAAAACTGGCACAAGACAGGGATGCCCTCTCTCACCACTCCTATTCAACATAGTGTTGGAAGTTCTGGCTAGGGCAATCAGGCAAGAGAAAGAAATCAAGGGTATTCAGTTAGGAAAAGAAGAAGTCAAACTGTCCCTCTTTGCAGATGACATGATTGTATATTTAGAAAACCCCATCATCTCAGCTCAAAATCTCCTTAAGCTGATAAGCAACTTCAGCAAAGTCTCAGGATACAAAATCAATGTGCAAAAATCACAAGCATTCTTATAAATCAGTAACAGACAGAGAGCTAAATCATGAATGAAATCCCATTCACAATAGCTTCAAAGAGAATAAAATACCTAGGAATCTAACTTACAAGGGATGTGAAGGACCTCTTCAAGGAGAAATACAAACCACTGCTCAGTGAAATAAGAGGACACAAACAAATGGAAGAACATTCCATGCTCATGGATAGGAAGAATCAATATTGTGAAAATGGCCATACTGCCCAAGGTAATTGATAGATTCAATGCCATTCCCATTAAGCTACCAACAGCTTTCTTCACAGAATTGGAAAGAACTGTTATAAAGTTCATATGGAACTAAAAAAGAGCCCGCATTGCCAAGACGATCCTAAGCCAAAAGAACAAAGCTGGAGGAATCACGCTACCTGACTTCAAACTATACTACAAGGCTACAGTAACCAAAATAGCACAGTACTGGTACCAAAACAGAGATATAGACCAATGGAACAGAACAGAGCCCTCAGAAATAATGCCACACATCTACAGCCATCTGATCTTTGACAAACCTGACAAAAACAAGAAATGGGGAAAGGATTCCCTATTTAATAAATGGTGCTGGGAAAACTGGTTAGCCTTAAGTAGAAAGCTGAAACTGGATCCTTTCCTTACTCCTTATATGAAAATTAATTCAAGATAGATTAGAGACTTAAATGTTAGACCTGAAACCATAAAAACCCTAGAAGAAAACGTAGGTAATATCATTCAGGACATAGGCATGGGCAAAGACTTCATGTCTAAAACACCAAAAGCAATGGCAACAAAAGCAAAATTGAAAAATGGGATCTAATTAAACTAAAGAGCTTCTGCACAGCAAAAGAAACTAACATCAGAGTGAACAGGCAACCTACAGAATGGGAGAAAATTTTTGCAATCTATTCTTCTGACAAAGGGTTAATATCCAGAACCTACAAAGAACTCAAACAAATTTACAAGAAAAAAAAAGCATAAAAAGTGGACAAAATATATGAACAGACACTTCTCAAAAGAAGACATTCACATAGCCAACAGACACATGAAAGAATGCTCATCATCATTTGCCATCAGAGAAATGCAAATCAAAACCACAATGAGATACCATCTCACACCAATTAGAATGGCAATCATTAAAAAGTCAGGAAACAACAGGTGCTGGAGAGGATGTGGAGAAATAGGAACACTTACACTGTCGGTGGGACTGTAAACTAGTTGAACCATTGTGGAAGACAGTGTGGCAATTCCTCAAGGATCTAGAACTAGAAATACCATTTGACCCAGCCATCCCACTACTGGGTATATACCCAAAGGATTATAAATCATGCTGCTATAAAGACACATGCCCACGTATGTTTATTGCGGCACTATTCACAATAGCAAAGACTTGGAATCAACCCAAATGTCCATCAGTGACAGACTGGATTAAGAAAATGTGGCACGCTGGGCCAGAGCCTGCCCGGGACAGGAACCAGATGACAGCCCAGGCCAGATTCCACCCGGCAGCAGCGGAAGCACGCCGAGCCTGCCGGCAGTGCAGTCCCGGCGGCCGCGGGCAGCTCACCCAGAAGGCCGCGCGGGGTCGGGGCGCGAATCCTTACCCCGGCGCCCACGCCCAGCACGCGAGCCCCGGCGTTCGCTGGGGAGGATTTTCCTTGCTGCTGCTTAACTTGGAGGAGTACTACTCCGAACAGCATAGAGCCAATCACATTTTGCACAAGGGCAGTCACCATGAAAGAAAAATCAGAGGCTCCTTAAAAATATGTTCAAAATCAGCGATTTTTGAACCAGATGCAATATCCCAGCCCATCATCAAGATTCCTTTGAGAGACTGTATAAAAACAGGAAAGCATAGAGAAAATGGAGCCAACAGACACTTCACAAAGGCGAAATCTGGGAGTATTTCACTCATTTTCAGTCAGGTATATTTCATTAAAGAACATAATGTTGTCACACCATATAAAATAGAAAGGGGCAAAATGGAGTATGTTTTTGAATTGGATGTTTCCGAGAAAGTGGAAGATGTTGTGGAGACGTTGCTTCAGCTTCACAGAGCATCCTGGATTGACAAATTGGGTGACCAAACCGCCATGATAACAGCTATTTTGCAGTCTCGTTTGGCTAGAACATCATTTGACAAAAACAGGTTCCAAAACATTTCTGAAAAGCTGCACATGGAATGCAAAGCAGAAATGGTGACGCCTCTGGTGACTAATGCTGGACACGTGTGCATCACGGACACAAACCTCTATTTTCAGCCTCTCAATGGCTACCCGAAACCTGTGGTCCAAATAACACTCCAAGATGTCCGCCGCATCTACAAAAGGAGGCATGCCCTCATGCCTCTGGGCTTGGAAGTATTTTGCACAGAAGGTGATCTGTGTTCCGACATCTACCTAAAGTTCTATGAACCTCAAGATAGAGATGATCTCTATTTTTACATTGCCACATACCTAGAGCACCATGTGGCGGGGCACACTGCTGAGAGCTACATGCTGCAGTGGCAGCGTGGACTCCTTTCCAACTATCAGTACCTCCTTCACCTCAACAACCTGGCCGACCGCAGCTGCAACGACCTCTCCCAGTACCCTGTGTTTCCATGGATAATACATGATTATTCCAGCTCAGAACTAGATTTGTCAAATCCAGGAAACTTCCGGGATCTTAGTAAGCCAGTGGGGGCCCTAAATAAGGAACGGCTGGAGAGGCTACTGACACGCTACCAGGAAATGCCTGAACCAAAGTTCATGCATGAGAGTCACTACTCTTCCCCGGGTTATGTACTTTTTTTATCTTGTTAGGATTGCACCAGAGTATATGCTGTGCCTACAGAATGGAAGATTTGATAATGCAGATAGAATGTTCAACAGTATTGCAGAAACTTGGAAAAACAATCTGGATGGTGCACCGGATTTTAAAGAGTTAATTCCAGAATTCTATGGTGATGATGTAAGCTTTCTAGTCAATAGCCTGAAGTTGGATTTGGGAAAGAGACAAGGAGGACAGATGGTTGACGATGTGGAGCTTCCCCCTTGGGCCTCCAGTCCCGAGGACTTTCTCCAGAAGAGCAAAGATGCATTGGAAAGCAATTATGTGTCTGAATACCTTCAGGAGTGGATTGATCTAATATTTGGCTACAAACAAAAACGGAGTGGTGCAGTTGGGGCCCATAATGTATTTCATCCCCTGACCTATGAAGGAGGTGTAGACTTGAACAGCATCCAGGATCCTGATGAGAAGGTAGCCATGCTTACGCAAATCTTGGAATTTGGGCAAACACCAAAACAACTATTTGTGACACCACACCCTCGAAGGATCACCCCAAAATTTAAAAGTTTGTCCCAGACCTCCAGTTATAATGCTTCTATGGCAGATTCCCCAGTCTCTCCAGGTGAAGAGTCTTTTGAAGACCTGACCGAAGAAAGCAAAACACTGGCCTGGAATAACATCACCAAACTGCAGTTACATGAGCACTATAAAATCCACAAAGAAGCAGTTACTGGAATCACAGTCTCTCGCAATGGATCTTCAGTCTTCACAACATCCCAAGATTCCACTTTGAAGATGTTTTCTAAAGAATCGAAAATGCTACAAAGAAGCATATCATTTTCAAATATGGCTTTATCGTCTTGTTTACTTTTACCAGGAGATGCCACTGTCATAACTTCTTCATGGGATAATAATGTCTATTTTTATTCCATAGCATTTGGAAGACGCCAGGACACATTAATGGGACATGATGATGCTGTTGGTAAGATCTGTTGGCATGACAACAGGCTATATTCTGCATCGTGGGACTCTGCAGTGAAGGTGTGGTCTGGTGTTCCTGCGGAGATGCCAGGCACCAAAAGACACCACTTTGACTTGCTAGCTGAGCTGGAACATGATGTCAGTGTAGAGACAATCAGTTTAAATCCTGCAAGCACACTGTTAGTTTCCGGCACCAAAGAAGGCACAGTGAATATTTGGGACCTCAAAACGGCCACCTTAATGCACCAGATTCCATGCCATTCAGGGATTGTATGTGACACTGCTTTTAGCCCAGATAGCCGCCACGTCCTCAGCACAGGAGCAGATGGCTGTCTTAATGTCATTGATGTACAGAGAGGAATGCTCATCTCCTCCATGACGTCAGATGAGCCCCAGAGGTGCCTTGTCTGGGATGGAAATTCCATTTTATCTGGAAGGCAGTCTGGTGAACTGCTTGTTTGGAACCTCCTTGGAGCAAAAATCAGTGAGAGAACACAGGGCCACACATGTGCTGTGACATGTATATGGATGAATGAACAGTGTAGCAGTATCATATCACAGGAGGGGAAGACAGACAAATTATTTCTGGAAATTGCAGTATTAAGTGCCTTTTCCTCTCCTGAATATTAAGTTTTAATGCATTTTTAAACCAAACTTTTAAACGGACTGGTGAATGTGCAATGCTAGAAGTTTTACCACATGGAAAATTTGTGGTTTTAAACTTTCTAAATCATGGTGACTTCGTTGAAAGCCATTAGTTGCCATTCTCTTAAGGCAGATAAAATGTGGCAGTGCTAGGAAAAACATGTTACATTGTAAGGCAGATGATCATCCCTGTATGATGATTGTCAGAAGACAGGACTGGGTAGCAGAGAACAGCTAAGAGATAAATGGGGCTAGGGAACTTGTCAGAAAGCACTGAACAATTAAGAATTTTCCAACAAAATGTGCAGTATTCTCTGCTACTTCTGAATCTGTTTCGTCTCTAATCTATCACAATTGCTACCCATTGGGTTTTGGGTGTATGTTTTCATAGAGTGGTTACTTTCTATAATGCTGTACCCAGATTCTAAGAACCTGGAGAAGTTTTAGCAGTTCTTATAACAGTAAGTTTACTGTGTATAGGAATAGTTTGTATTTCATTATAGCTATTCAACTTTTCTACATTAAAAATATTTTTCTCTAAAAAAAGAAAAAGAAAGACAATGTGGCACATACACACCATGGAATACTATGCAGCCATAAAAAAGGATGAATTCGTGTCCTTTGTAGGGACATGGATGCAGCTGGAAACCATCATTCTCAGAAAACTATCGCAAAAACAGAAAACCAAACACCGCATGTTCTCACTCATAGGTGGGAATTGAACAATGAGAACACTTGGACACGGGAAGGGGAACATCACACACCAGGGCCTATTGTGGGGGGGGGGAGTGGGGAGGGATAGCATTAGGAGAGATACTTAATGTAAACAAGTTAATGGGTGCAGCACACCAACATGGCACATGTATACATACGTAACAAACCTGCACGTTGTACACATGTACCCTAGAACTTAAAGCATAATAATAATAATAATAATAATAAATAATAAGAGAATCTAAAACTACCTTCACTGCTACAGATTTTTCCCATGACTGTGAGATTCAGACTTCAATGTGTGTGGCAGGTAAGGAAATTATGAACATCAAGCTTGTCCCAACTACACACTTCTAGTTACATCCTTTGTTCAGTCAGCTGTTGAATACGAGGTAAACTGCCTCATTTTCATATCTTTACAATAAAATAATAAAGCTCAAAATATTTCTCTAAGCAGCTTCATACAAATGGAAACATAGGACATTGTACATTTGCAACTAAAGCATCAGCTTCTTAGGAAATACAACTGTAGCTGTCTCTATGGTCCGAAGACTAAAAAATCCAGATATTTTAGAAAAATTAAATTATGAAATAATTGTATTACACATGTCTTACCTTTATCAAAGACTTTAACAAGTTTTCTTTTAGGTAAAAACTTCAGTAATAAATTTATTTATTTGTAAATCTTATTGAATATAGAATTTTAGAATCAAAGGGCCTGTTTAATCCCATGCTTCTCTGTTGGATAGAAAAGTGAAGAGATACATAAATATATATTCTCTTAGTGCAATAAATGAAAATAACTATATAGAACTTTGACATATATAATCTTGTTTCATTCCAAATATTCTTGTCAGATGATAACTGGTATTTTTGTCTTCATTTCTTAAGGGAGAAACTAAAGGTCAAAGGAGAGCAATGACTTCCTTAAGGTCACTAAGTGACAAGGGCAGAGTTGGAACCCGGTTCTTTCACTTTAGAGCCAGTATTTTTTGTAATACATAAAAGTATCTCTTTTGTACCATATTTTCTCTCAAGATAGGCTGTGTAAACACAAGGATTAAATACTGATGTTCATTAACATCAATAACTGCACAAAAATTTGGGAAACAATTGCTTTTCAAATATCTTTCCCAAAAAGTGACTTTAAAAAACAGATTTTTGTCCTCAAAATGATAATGATGATTCCCTAGAAAATCGTTTTTGCGTTTCACATTATGAAATCCAGTAAGGTACCCTTTTCCCATTCTGTGTTAACAGCTTAAATATATTTAGAGACAAAAAGAAACATATAATTTGCCTGTATGACAAAGTATAATTGGCATCATAATTCTGTAAGAACCTGTGTATAATGCTGTCGTGGTGGGAAGACAACTAAAGCAAGAGTAAAGGGATTTTACAAGGGCCTAAACTTGGGTTAATCACTTAAGCACTTTGTGTTTCATCTGCAAAACAGTATTGACCTACGGGATTGCTGTGAGGATTACATAAAAATGTATGTGATGGCAATTTGTAAGGCATCAAGCACTACATAAATATAAGGCAACATAATTATTGATTTGCTCATTCTATTTCCTGATGTAGATACTAACTGCTACTCATCATATGTAACTAAGCTTATTTCAAGTTATACAAACATTAGTAAAAGTTGTTCATAAATCAAAGAAAGTAAATTTTGAATAATCTTTTAAACAATCACTCTCATTTAAAACTTGCAAATTCAAATTTTTACATACAAAAAATGACTATAAAATGCTAAGTTTACTTTCTACAAGTTATACACATAATCAGCAGTAACATGGATGCAGTTGGAGGCCATAATCCTAAACGAATTAGGGCAGGAACAGAAAACCAAATATCACATGTCCTCACTTATAAGTGGGAGCTAAACATTGAGCACACATGGACATAAATTTGGGAACAGTAGACACTGTGGACTACTAGATCAGGGGAAGCAGTGGGGGAACATGGGTTGGAAAACTACTTAATTGGGTACCATATTGTCTACCTGGGTGATGTTATCCATACCCCAAACCTCAGTATCATACAATAGTGCCATGTAACAAACTTGCACATATACCCCCTGTATCTAAAATAAAAGTCAGAATTTAAATAAATAAATAAAGCATATATTTACAGGCAATGTATCATCCCATTTTCCCAAAATGGAATGCTCTAACAGTTTGAATTCACTTAATGTTTACATATGAATGGCATTCAAATATTTACTGAATCTAATGGTGATAACAATGTTCATTGATTCTACAAAAACTAAATATAATAAATAAGGTATACTTAAACTACAGTGAAAAAAATTTAATCCTCAAGATCTTGCCTTGTTCTAAGAATCATCATTATGAATATAAATTACTGTCCAGTATTTTAAAAATAATTGTTATCTAAACTTAGTGGTTAGAAATTTAATTTACAGATTAGGTTTAATATAAGTTAAATACATGGCAATAATTATTTTTCATATTCTTTATATTATTTTGGTTTTTCAACCTGTAATTTGCTACCATAATTAAAATTAACCTAATAACATATTCAGCATTTAAAGTTTTCATACCTCTTAAGAAAAATTATTCAGAAGAATGTGTAGTTATATAAAGCATATAGCTATCTTGCCCATATTTTACTCTCTGATTTTCCATTTATAAATAATTTCTTGATAGCCTGCAATTCAAATTTTTCCTATAGGGAAAATACTTAAAAAAACCCTATTTTAAGATATCCTCTAATACCTATCCTGTTAATCCAAATTACTTCCCTCCTTCTACATCTCCCACTGGCCAGTTTTTTTTTTTCTCTATAGTTTATCTCATCATCTCTTTAAGAGATTATTAATGAAGACTTACTTTATTTAATGCACTTTAACAGTGAAAGGGGAAGAAAATATATGCCACCAAGCTGTACAGTGAAACCGATAACCTTCCTTATTTCTACTCTTTCCTATTGGCTAAATTCAAGCAAAAAAAATTAAATCATGAAAAAAAAGAGCACCTATTTGAACAGTGAAGTATACATTTTTTACTTATAGTTCTAAATATGGCTTGACCAAAAAGGAATAATTTCTGAGACCTAATATAGATGGTATTTATATCCTATACATGTTTAACAGCATATTAGCACTCATGTAATACTTTTAATACTGACAGTACATACCAGTTGACATACTGAATCCAAAGCATTAAGGAAAAAATAAGAAAGGAAAAGCTCTATGAGAAATTTCTAATTATGCAACTTAGAAAATATTCCAAAATGATGCATTTAAATTTTTACAAACATCTTTTAAATTAAAAAAGTAGAAATTACCAAGAAGTTCATGGAGGTTTTCTGAATTCATATGTAATTATGACAAACTTCTTGATTCTCATATTAATCCTCTCAAAATGCAAAAAATAAATATTTCTAAGTTTAAGAAACTATAACACTGGAAACAAAAAATAAAGAAGAGACTATGCCTAGCAATAATTCTCAGGAAGGAAAAAACAGGATAATTAAGAACAAGATTTAGCATCTCATCAGATAACTATATACCTTGTGGAGAATACTAAATAAAGATACATAAAATTTTAATAGATGAAGATGAATACAATCTCCTAGGCTTCACAGAAACATAAAGATGAAAATTTTGCCCTATATTAAAATTTATTACATAGCAATAATCATAAAAAGTATGGTTCTAATAGAATAGACTCATCAATGTTAATAATAAAAATAAATAACAGTAATAACTCTCATTCATTGAGCATTTACCCTGGGCTAATCATTGTGCTAATTGTTGATATATGTGTTTTATTCATATTTACATTTTAATGACTCATGCATAGTACTTATAATAAATTTATGAGTTTATTATGTCCATTTGTCAGGTGAGGAAAGAAAAATGCAAACATACAGTAATTTAGTCAAGCGAATATAGCTAACAGTGGATATACCTGAGTGTACTTAATAATTTAGTATAAGATAAAGGTAGCATTTCAAGTAAATGTGAACTATTTATTAAGTTTGAGGGACAACTGGCTAACATTTTTGGGGAAATAAGGTAGATACCCATGTTACTTCTTGTACCAAATTAATTTCCATATGAATTTTAAAGATTTATGTCAAAATGCAGCCAGGCATGGTGACTCACACCTGTAATCCCAGCACTTTGGGAGGCAGAGGCAGGCAGATCACTTGAGGCCAGGAGTTTGAGACCAGCCTGGGCAACATGATGAAACTAAAAATACAAAAATTAGC